AGCGCTTTTGGTGGAGGCCTGCCGAATTAGTGGCCGCCGAGTATTTTGACGTCAAAATATAGGAGTGGCGGTGTAACCGTCCGTAACCGTCGCCAATCGTAATACTATACTGCGATTTTCGTAACTCTGCCCTTGGCAGGTAAAATGCAACATAGTGACGTCACTATTGTGATGTTCAAGCTCCCGATTGGATGAAACCGTGAATAGCTGAGACCTGCCAGGGGCAGAGTTGCATAAATCGCAGTATAGAATACTTTGTTTCCCAAATGACGTTGCTTTGACTGAAAAAAAAAACAACAACAAAAACAAACAAACAAAAAAATGGCTTCAATTTGCTTTAAAGATGGAGGCGCTTCAGCCACTCTATGTAGTATATACTAGCTCGTTGGAGAAACCACAGAAAACTACATATCAGAACAGCCGGCTGTAAGAATTCTCATCCTAACTGTGGCTGAATTTCATCTAGCTATTCAGCTAGCGATGAACAATCTGCTAACGTCGAGGTTCGAACCCAACGACCTCCCGGTCAGAGTCACAGCAAAGTCAAAGGGAATTCCGATTTACTCTCGTGGGTACATTTGGTTAGTACATTTCGAGTATATCAAGAATTAACGATGTAAAAAGAAATCCCGTTGGAGACGAAGACGCATTATCGGTTTTTCTCTTCATTTTTTTCGCATCGCGAAACGTAAAGCATTTTAAGAACTGAGAAGTTGCAGAAATTGAGTACATAGAGGAAGAACATTTGGAGTTGTAATCTACTTACAAGTGCTAATCAACTTATACTTTTCACAGGGACAGTCGTTCGGTAATTTGGGCTCTGGCAAACTTGAAGTTGCATATTTAACTAAGTACTTAAAACGTTAAAATTTTATTACAATTTAAATGCAAAAATCCTCAGTTCACAAACGGTGTCTGGGATGGGGGACGGTAACAACGAATTAATGCAAGTTTTTTGTAGAACTTTCTAGTGAGAGGGTTGAGCGCCCATTTCCCTAAGACAAACATTCACTAATGACAGACGTCACATTGTTTGCATATAGAAAAAAAAAATGTCAACAAAGGAATGAATGCAAATAAAATTATTTAGTTTTATGATGAACATTATTACTTATATTATAATATAATAATTAATAATATCAATAATGAGCGTCATTCATAAGAAATTATAGGAAATTTCACACCGAATTTGATGATTCTGCTACCGAAGGACTAAACCATTCCCAAATTACATAGAAATAACTTGCAGCTGAATTCAATAATCGGAGTACTTTCCAACCACTCATTGTTTTATAAACTAACTGGACAATACTAAATATGAATGCGTATCACTTATTTTTATTTCTCTTAACCCACCAGGAGACAAAAGGCTTCGGGAAATTTGCAACTCGTCAGTTACGTACTGGGGACAATAGGGAATGAAGCAGTGGCGTAGCTTCAATTGGTGTCTCTAAGGGCAAAACTAATAGTGACACCCCTGCCCTCGTAAATTAAATATAAAAGTAACTATTACTGAATAGCTGATACATAGTTTAATAAAAATATAAGTATATTTGCACAAGACATTTATTTACTATAATGTATTCAAAACTGTATGTAATTCAGACTTATTGATATATAATTTTTAAAGAAATAATCTAAAACGACGTATAAATTATTAACAAATGCATGTTTTTTATAAAATATAATTATTAAATAAATCATTAAAATTATATAATTCCAACTTAAACATTTTCGACTTCGTGCCACCCCTAAAATGGTGTCACTTGGGGCGGACCACTCCCCCTGCCCCTCCTTAACTAACCCACTGGAATGAAGCAAACAAAGAACGGAGAATAATTTTTCTCTCAATTCTTAGAATAGGGTAGAAAAATGGAGAAGAACGTACAGCGTGCAGTCTGTGGCCCGATAAAAAATCCAGGTTATTCCGGAATGAGGAAAAGTAAGGAAAATACCAATTTAAAAGCAATCCGGCTTCTTGAAGTTTCTTTCAAGGCGTATTGGGCATTGAATACCCATTTAAGCTTGTGCCGAAACTCAGCGCACCATCGAAACCATGACCAGGGCAACAAAGAGTCAGCAACTTCATATACTACCACACCACGATTCGTCTCGCATTGAAGGTAGCCCGAAATTCCACTATGGCCCGGCGTTCTTGAACGAGCTCTAGCAACAGGGAGGGACACTGGGACAGCGAGGGAAGTAATTTTCAAATTAAATCACCCTGGAGCAGGCTGATTCTAAATTGCAGACGAATTTTAGTTCTTGTTCCCGCCGATCACAGCGCCACCTTTACCGTTCACAGCAAGAACTCTACTAGAATCCACTCCACTTGGTTCACAGCGCGATTCACTTATAAAGGGCTCGTTGACGCTTCGCTATACTTTTCCAAGATGGGGATTGGGCCTTCGGCCCTTGCGTTAACGCAAAATATCCGTGAGTCTGTGTAATGCATAATTGTTAACTTATTTTATGCATAGTTATTTTAAAGACAGTTGCCGCATCGCTATGCAATTCCACGTTAAGGGCGATGCTCGAGCCTTCGACCGTCGCTTAATAAAAAACATCTAGAGTCTGTGCAAGCATAATTTCCGATGCATTTTATGGTAAAAAATGACAAAAGCAAGAGCTACGCTATGATACCCTAACCAGAGAATATGTCAAGATGAGGCTAGTAGCCCAGTAAAAAATTAGAGAAATCGAGTGAAAAAAAATCCCGGCATTTTGAAATGGGGCATGATTGTTTGGTGGTTTTGCACATTATAATAAAATCCCTGAAATGAATAATGAAACCCTTTTCTATGTGTTTTGTATCTATCTCCATATCTATCAATACTACCAAAAATATGAACATAAAATTAAAATAGACAACATTTTCTGCAAAAAAGTTCATTTAAAATGATTCTTTTTAAAGTTATCTCCCTAGTAAAATTGATGTTATGATATGTTCAATGAGAGAAGACACTATTTGTTATTGTTATTTAAGTTCGCATCAACTTCTAGGTCATTAGCGACCACTATTGCGAGTAACGGTATTGTAACTATGAAGATGACACGATATGATGATGATGATGATGATAAGGGGTGAAAGGACGAACACAATATGACCATGCCCGAGGCGGGACTCGAACCCGCGATCATATTTAACGCGCTATAACTTTAAGAGGCTTAATTTTTCAACAAAACCTCATAGAAACTTTTTTGTAGACAATTTTATCTACTTTAATTTTAGGCAGGGATTAATTTTCTGTGGTATTAACAGTTGTAGAGATATATACAAAACTTTTAAACGCCCTCCCCTCCATACCCGGCTCACCTCCACACTTACGGATTTTTAGTATAATTTCTCACAGGTACCAACGAAGAAACACGGCAAATGCCAACACTCCAGTTTTTTCCCCTCTTCGACCTCCAGTGTTTGGTGGTCGTATGGTGGTTTAATATTACTGGGCAATAATACGCTGGCTAGTTCGCTTCGGGTTGTGCCGTGAGTTGGCTAAGAATTTCTCGTCCCGAAACAATGCTAAATGTAAGCGCTGAAAACGGCAGGGCCGATGACTAAAAATTCGGCTGTGATTTAGAATTATGGCCTGGTTCGGTCTCGCATACGATTCACAGGGTAGCCATGAGGCCCTGGCGATTTCGTACGACTCCTAGCGGCGGGGGAAGGGGGTGCGCCGGCGACGAGGGGTGGGAAGTCGAACCCACGATCTCTCTATTTTTGAGATGAGGATTCACAACTTCATTCGCTATCACAGCCGGTCATGTCAATGAGAAAATGAAGGTTAATGAAACTAGCGGATGAGTGGCGTGAGATGCAAACAAATATTTATTTACGTTTGGCTGTGGCTGAAGCCTTTATGAAAACTAGCTAGGTAACATAATATGACGAATAAAGTCAACATTGTAATAAAGTGAAAATGATATCATGACGCCAACATTTTTAAGATGTTAGAGCAGGGGCTCCCAGCGGGGCCGCTATAGACCACCGATGATGAATGTGTTGATTGAGTGTTAATACAGGTATAAACCGGTGCCTGATCTGTATACCCAAGATCCTCTAGGAGTTAATTAATTGTTTTCTGATAAAAACTTTAATAATAAATTACAAATCGCTCCACTTCATTCGTATCTCTCATTCATCCTAGGATTTTCGTATCTCTCATTCAAAGGAAACGTAAGATATTACAATTATGCATTCAGAACGATACTCTATCGTGCCAGAAAATATCCTCCACAATATGCTCTGAGAATATAACGGGCAGTTCTTAAAAGTCACTCAATATTTTGTAACTATTGAATTAAAATGGAGTTTAGAGACTCAGCTCCTCAAAAGCGGAAGCCTCTTCGATTATTGAATGCCGAGATATTTACGAGAATATTATTGTACGAAATTATTATATTTTAAACCTAGCTGAATTCGTTTACTACGCTCCGTGACTTCCAGGTTAAGCTAATTCGAGGTTCGCGGTTGGTTCCGTGCAGGAAGCCTGACATGTAACGGCGCCGAGCCCCTGGCCGAAGGGATAAAAGGCACCGACTGCGACGGGTCGAGACTTGACAAAAATAAGTATTCCTCCATACCAGCGCTCAACGCCCATCAAGCGTTCAGAGCCGCGTTGCGTCGACGAAGACGCAACAAACATTTACGTGCATTTTTTGTATCATCATTACGTATGCAGAATATTATATAGAAAATGCAAGGAGGTGGATGAAGCAAATAATTCTCTTAAAAGGGGTCAATGAAAAAAAAGGGTGGTGAATCCCTGTGGTAGACCGATGGTGGAGTTATATCCTAGGGAAACGGGAGAATCAAGAGAAAATCTTCAGCGAAATAGAAGATAGTAAGGCTGTAAGAGTGTAAGATTCTTTGTAATTTACTTCAGAAAACAGAAACACCTTAATATTAATTAGTTTAATATTCTCAACAAGTATGACTAACAACACCAACGAAAATGTTTTGTAAATAAATTAATATACTCAAATGAAATTAATTGTTCTTAGGCTTTGAGCAATACCCACCTGCACTTCGCATCAGCATGTCGAAAGACTTTCCCCAGCTTCGAATCTCCTCGAGGGACGGCCTGAAACACGGGGTGTTGCGTTAGCACTCTGCCAAAAGGAAGCCTCAAAACACTGATTTACAAAAATTCACAAATTATACCCGAGAAATATGCCACAGAAATGCTACGCAAATCAAGGTTGTAATCCCCTGGAAGTCAGAAGAGAGGAAGACCAGAGAGATTCATGTGAATCAGCATTTGCTCTCATGTTTTGTTACAAACATTTGTCTGTTTAAGAACGTTTGTACGTGAATCTCCTGTAAGAGTTAGTCTATTTTTATAATGATTGGTAATAAAAATTGTACAATGTTTCTACTTAATGTAATGCAAAACAATAAATATTTTCTAAATATAGATCCAAGAGAAGTTTGCATTAAAATAGTTCTTTAAGAGTTACCTTCTAAAGTTTAAAATGGTTTATTTCTTATCAAAATTGTTGTTTTTTCTGTTTTCTGATATCTGAAGACAAAATCAAACATTCTGCTGAGAATGAAAGTTAAGAAAAGTAGTTTTTTCTTCTTGATTTTTGTGCAATTTATTTTCAATATCATATTAAATTCGTAACGTACTTTAAAGTGAACGTATTTACCCTCTCCACAAATGCACTACATTGACACTGTGATTATTCAGGCATTAAATTACATTTCTCTGTTCCATGCAGCGCCTCTACTTTACAGGCTCATTTGTTAAAAATCAAGTACAATGCTTCTCTTACTAGTAGCGTTCATTAATTTCTTTACCGTTTCGTCTTCAGAGACTGAAGTATTTTGAGAAATTTTGCATTTCGGCGTAGCCTGTATTTAATTAGAACATAACATGAAAAATGCTCTTTTAGGGGGCAGATGACAGGTTCGGGATGACATTTGATAAACGGAAACACGCGTTGCATATCGTGAACTTTGTCGCAAGAGTCTGCCAGCAATTTATTGCGATCTCATTCGACACAGGGCTGTTGTTTCTCGCTCTCCAATCTCATCAGTTCACACATTTGGGTTGTTTCTCGTTAACATAGAAACAAAGAGTTTCTCTCCGGTTGAATTTTACACAATAAAAGAATGAAAGTTGTTCGAAATTGTAACGGCAGTGTGTACCGCTATCGCCAACTTCCCACGCAGGCGCATTCTGTTAGTTTGCTCTTCCCATTTCGTTTCACATTAGTTTGCTCGTGTGACCAGTTTAGCGATACCAGCACATTCTGCCGTTCTCTCGGCAAGTTCGAACTTCCTCCATTAATGTAACATTTATACTCAAACACGCTACAGGACCGGATAAAGCAGGCAGGATATCGTATTCCGATATTTCTCTAACGTAACAGACTTCGCGCTTGCGCAAAAGGTTTCTAAATAGACGTTCAGAGTTTACATCGAGCACTCAGTAACACAAGTTCACTAAGCGCAAGCAACTCAATCATCAGTAGAAAAAGTATCGAGCCAGAGAAAAATCGACAGAGTACTTAGGAGCAGTGCTTGATTTATAAAAGTTTAAGTCCTGGAACGCGTCCCAAGATAATTATTAATTACTATAGATATTTATATATTTATGATATAATATTCAATAATTATTCAACATACTTAATGGCAATCAGTAACACTGGCTCTATGTGAATGTAATCACAATATTTTTAATAGGGAATAAAAAATTAGGGTTTATATTGATTTTAATCACTTTTTACTAATACTTTTATTACTTTCGTAGAAATCATAAAGTTAAGTGAAATTGTATTTAATTTTGAGTTTTCGAAAGTTTGTTGAACAGGATATCGAAGTTGCTCAGTGTTTGTCCTCTGCTTCTCATTTTTCTTTCTTAATTTGTTTCGAGGTACGGGAACGCCGTTCTTTCGCAATCCGCCAAAAAACGAGCCCTACGTAGGAGTAATATCTCGGTGTCATCAAATTACCCAACCAAAAACCTAAACTCCACGAGTTTGGGTAATTATTATGACCGTTCGTCCGTTCGTGTCACGATCTTTTCGGTTCGCAGAAAAAATCATAAAACTACATGTTAACAAGCTAGTCAAACTTACAGAGGTTCTCCGTTGCCAGGCACCTCTGGCGCTTTTGGCCGCTCCTCGCCGTTTTTCACCGCCAGGCTGCAACAGGGAGCATTCATCAGAAAACACGTCTTCGCCCTTATTATTTGGCATCGAATACATCCAACTTTTCCTTATATACAATAAATATAAAATTGTTTAGAATAAATATTGCACCTTTTAGGGCATAAAGAGTGGTCGAAAGATGCTCATATTTCGAAAAGATGTTTTGAATATACAAATAAAAATAGAGCGGAAAATTTCATGTAACGAAGTTAAAATTACACCTGTGTCTTTGTGTCATTGATTGGAAGGAAACCCATTCTGTTCTGTATTTGGCAGGTACCCGAATTCTCAGGGGGTTGACCGGGCCATGGACTATGCGAATCGACTTCTTTGTCTTTATTGTTCAGCTTTGCTTTGACTGGGTCAGAACGGAAACGCCATTAATACACATGCATAATACCTAACGTCTATCAAATCGAGACATTTGTGTAGACAAAACGGAAAAATAATGACAATAACGTAATACTGACATTGCCAAAGGGCAGTTTCCTAAGAGTTGGTGTGCCTGCCAAACAACAGTGCAGGATGAGTTGCCTACCAATCAGGAGCGCTATACCACAAATATAATACTTTCATATTAGATGAGTATAGTCACAGGGATTTTAGTTCACAAAAAATTGAAATACAACCAGAATCACATTATTAAAACAACAGTCTTTATTTTCCATTAACCAATATTCTTTCAAAGAAACATTGGTTGGTTAATGAAAAGTAATAAAAAATAAAAAGTATTTTTTCCATTAACGAAAGTTCTTTGAAAAATATTTGGTAAATGAAAAAAAAACAACAACTGCGAAGTTTATAAAAATGAGATTCCGTGTTTATATTTTAAAATATTTTAGAATTAATTGTCGTAAAAAAATCGTGACGAAACTCATCTAAAATGAATAAGTAATAATAGTGATATTTTTCTGCCATTTATGCACAAAAATATATGTTCGCAACTTCGTTATATTAGATTTCCACAAAATGTTTAGTGGCAAAAAATAATTATCTCCCACCCCCATTGTACGCCCAAGAAATTTGTAACTGGATAAACAAAATAATCAAATAATTTACTTTCGAGTCTGGTAATTATTATTGTGGTTGAGAATTAAATATTGTAAATAAAAAATAATGAGCAACAATAAATAATTTGCTAACATCATTGAAGAACTTTTCTATCAAACGAGAAATAAAGATAAACTCTCATAAGTTGTGCAAATCGGAATTGCACTTTAAGGTGTTTATTTTTATAAATTAATACCCAAACTAGTATTTCTGTAGAAGTCAGAAACGACTAAGCCCTGAAAATCAACTTCAGAAATTTTGTCAACTGATGTTATAAGTTACGTGAGAAGGGAAGGCCACAAATATATCTTACTGTAATATTTATATTTAAACATATTATAACGTATTTAAAAACGGTTTTATTTGAACAACATATATCTCAAATTTTAAATTATAAAACGATGTGCAAATCATATTATTGTTGTAATATCTGCAAAGAAGTTATGTACACACACCCAGGCACGCATACATTATGCATACATTAACACATACATACATATATCCATAAATATATTCAGAGGATCATCACTTTCATTGTTAAAATTTAAAACTCAATGGTAATTTTTAATGATTTAAACTTTTGTCACATTTTTTGACAATAATATTAACGTGTCTTGACTGAGAAATTATGAATCTCTTGTTTTGTTTTATGTAATCGGAATAAGAACCAATGACAAGAATCTCTCTAATCGTATCTGACACATAAATCTTGCCATCGCGTAACAACGCATTCAGTGTCATTTCCGCGCATTAACATTTTCAAAACACATCTTTATGTGCTTTAAAAGATAAGAGATTGAAGATAAAATGTAATACACAAACGTATGGATGATGTGTTAAATATATCATTTTACTTATAATCTAAATGAACAATTTAATAATTAAAAATATTTATATATTTTCATGATTGAAATATGCACGTATCATGCAAAAATCCCGTACACCAATGATTTAAGAAGAAGTGGGCTAAAACAGAAAATAGAAGAGAACAAAAACGTTTTAATCAAATGAACTAAGAATATTTTTTAATTTATTCATTTTATTGCAATAAATGTTTTTAATTGTAATCTTTTTACACCACAATAATAATAAGTTTACTAGAGAACATTTATTGAGTTTCCTGATTTACCTTCCGTGAACTTTAAATACTTTTCCAGAGTCAGCCCTTGTCTCATTTCGAAGTCCACTCATTACTCGTAAACATTTAGAGTCACTGTTTCATCGTCATCATTAAATGTGATCATTCCTTATAGGACACCATAAATAATACCGATCATGTTAAACCTGATTTTTTCTTACCATAACAGAAAGTATGCACACGTACAAATATCCTGATTTTTTAATTATTACGTTTTTAATTAAATTTGATTGAGCAAATACTTGAGCATAACCAGAAATACTTATAAAGTAGAAGCTAAAGCAATTTTTTTAAATCCATGTCGAATTTGTTATGATCCGGGGAGGGCATTTTCTCTTGGCCATCCTGTAACTAGACAACTTAATCAGAGAAAATTATTGCTCTTGGACTTTTTCAAAATCGAGTTATTCTGTGCAGGGAAATCGGAAAATCGATTCTGTTAATAACAAAATAATAATGTAAGCAATTAGCAAATATTGAAATAAAGTGATGGTTCAAACGTTTTTTATTACCATTTTTGCTTACAGATGCTTGCGTTTATTGCAATATAGGGCAGTTTATTGCAAAAATATATTGTAAACAAATTCATGTTATTTGCGAAAGGTAGGTGATGGATTGCTATTTTCTCTAGAACGTTTAATGCAGTTATGTCACCACTGATTGATTAGGTGTGAGGGCACGTCAACTGTTAAGGTATGTAGTTCCGTAAATGTAGTGCCCCTTTTTTTGCGGGAGGGGGCGGTGATCTTTCTCGCTCGATGACAAGATCCGGCGCCGAGGTTCATGTTGACCCGCGGGGTTTTCCCCAATCAGGTATCTCCAGCCACTCCCGCTGTACAAGGCCTAAAATCCAGGTTGGTCTGCCGACATGTGTGTTAGTGTAGTGTCTGTAAGTGTAGTGTGTGTGCGAGTAAGAGGTACGTATATAACAAGCAAGGCGAAGAGAAGATAGCGCGAGGTCCGTGTCCGAGGCGAGGCGTGGCGTTTGCTAGAGTATTGTTCCAACTTTCACCTGGAGTTAAAGGGAGAAACCAAAGAAAACTACCGATCAGAGCAGCGGGCCGCTAAATGTCTCTTCTGGAGACATAGCTCTCTAGCTTGTATCGAAACTCCTGCCACCGTCGGCACTGAACCTGTGCTATAACCTCCCGTCCAGAGGCACTGCAGTGACATCAATTGATGCGCTGGGCTACCTAAGCCTGTTATTACACTGGATATTTAAGGAACGGCAAATTAAAAGGTGTTTTGTAGTTTCAATGTGTCCCAAGTAAAATCTTTTCTGTGTCGCAACTGTTTCTATACGATTGGAGACTATACAGAGCATCCAAAAGGAAAGTGATATTTTATATTTAACTATGACATTTAATGTATTATATATATCATTTAGGTTCTATAATTGTAAAGAACCTGTAACAAGCATTGTACTTCAGCTTCTGAGTCAATGACCCCCGTCTCGATCAGGTTTTCGTCCAGTTTCCCTGATTCTCGAGCAAATGCTGAGATGGCCCCTTGTTTTGCTTCTGGACATAAATGTAACTTCAAATTAACATCTCTCGATAGCACGTCTCACACAATTTTTAACTGTTTTTGATATAAATAAGTAAATAAATAAAATGAGAATATCTGAGATTCGGCGAAGACACACAGGCGCAGGGTGCAACTGTGTGAACCTGATTTTTGTTAAACACTCTTATTAGCAAGTATTTCCTCATAGGAAAAGCGAGTTCTTCGGTAGAGAAATTAGCCCATTTTTAAAGAAAAATGAGAGTGTAGGAAATAGCATGAGCCTTGTCGTTAAAATAAATAGTATGGCGCAAAAAATCGAATTACTCGTTAAAAGAGATTTAGCGATATCAGGGAGTAGTAAAGAAATCTAAAGATATTGCCTAATAATTTGTAATAAACAACTTGTCAATCGGAAATTGTAAGAACCTTTTCGAATGTAATTTTGGGTTTCCAAAAATCTAAATACAACGTTTAAGTTTGCAAATATTTTTGGATTGAAAATGAATTATCAATTAGGTTTCTATCCTGCAAGTTAGTTGGAATGTGAAATAAGTTAAAATATGATCAAATTGAGTGACGGTTTTAAATGAGTGCACTATCCTTTTTGAAAAAGTAAAGTAAATCGTTGTAGAAATTTTGTTGAACTTGAAGATTTCTGAAAAATTGAATAATCGAATAATCTTCTTCAAATTCGCAACGTTCATCACATTTGTCAAATTCGACGAAATTTCATTCTTTCGTATTTCATCATTATAAGCTTTTCTTAAATTACTAATTTTTTTATTCAACATAAGGAAGTATTTTGAAAATTTTTCGTAATAAAACATTACACATAGTTGTAGTTATTCATGGAGGTGTTTGAGATATATACAAACAGTTGGTCACAAACTAATTTAAGATCAGTACAAAGAATTTGGATTCAATTTTCTTCAGCTGCCGTGAGTAGTTCGATCCAATCCGAGAATTCTGAGAGAATTTTTAACATTGGAATCTTATTGAAGAATCTTATCAAAGAAGATATTTCCTGAATATGAGAGACGTAGTGGGTTTACATACTAGCTACTAGTAGATATTATTTATTATTTTTTACTTCTATTTCTTCAGATTGCCCCGATTATCCAGCGGCACGGAATTTGCATTTTCTAGAAATTCTTATTGAATATTGTAAATTCATTCCAATCTCAAAAGCAAATGTTAATAAAAAATCTATAAGATTTAGCATATCATATTTGTGTAAAACTGGTATAATATAGAAGAAAAATCACGTTCCTTTAGTTACTGTGATTCGACAGGGAATGAATTTGTTAAAACAGACAACAGAAATTAGCCAGAAATATATGTGCTCTAACGATAG